TCTGTTTTTTTTTTTTTTTTTCAAGTTCTTTTGTTTAAATCTATGCTAAATCAGAAAAAAATGTAAACGACACAAACTCCTCACTAAACCTGAAATATGGCCAGGTACCTTTATGAATCTATAACAAACTAGAGGCTTAAATGTTCCCAAGCTCTGTTTGGGAATGAGCCTGTGGCGTTTAAGATTGCAATTCAGCAAAAGTACTAATAATCTATGGCAGGAAACTGATGTAACACATTAGTAGCTGTTGCGTGGTCCTGTCTCCGGTGGGGTGGAGGTCTCTGAACCCCCTTGATTACCTCCAGAACCAGCACCTCTGGCTAAAGCTTTTAGCTGCCAAATTACAGGTGTTTTGCGTGTGCCAGATTTTCCATCCTGCCTCAGCCTGTAATTGCTGTTAAATTTCAGAGCTCCACCGAGTTTGGTCCAACATTAAAGAACTGAATGTTCAAGCAGAAGGAAGAAAAACCTCAGAGCTCTCATTACGCTGTTGATGGAGTCTTGCTGCGGATGTTCACATTTTCCACTAATGTGGTGGCTTCTAGAGATGGGCACGTACTTTAGTCAAAAATGTGCTGCTGTAAAGGTATGACGCTCCAAGACGCTCCAGTCAAGGTGTCAAACTTGGAAAAAAAATAAGCTTACATAAGAGACCTAAGGCCTCTACTTTCTCACTGGGAAACTGGGGCAGTCACACTGTGTTTACAACTGTTGTGGAAGTTGCAATCCAGATGTGGATATGCAATTAATAATCTTCTGACAGTGTTCAGCTGGTGCACGGCCACCTGCAGTGCCCAACTTGGAAAACCAGCCTCTTTTATTTTGATAATCTCTGTAGAAGGCTAAATTTTCGGCAAAATAAACCACAATAAAAGTAACAAGGAACTGCTACTATACATATACTACTATACTATGGGTGCTACAGCGTTGCCAGAGATGCCACGTTGGGATTGCAAGAACTGACTGAGTGCTGGTGTTTTCCCTTACATGTATCTGATGCTGGAGGAGTCTGTTGACAGGGATGACATCGTTAAGGAAGTTAAAGACTCTCAGTAAAATGTTTACATAAATCTGACAATGTAATAATATTGCAAACTGCTTACTACAATTACAACTCTGTATGAATGAATGAACGTAAACAGAGCAATTTACACAGCGGTGGCCTCACATTCATAAATGAGACGCAGCAAAATAACCTGGGTGCAATTCCAGTTCTCTAAATAAATGTGTGTAGCTCTGTATCGCAAAGTAATTGATAGAATGTGGGGATATGGCCTAATGTGTCTAGATTTGCAGAGGTGATATGACTGAGAGACATCTGATTCAACTATAAATCAAAACCTACTGTGCCCCAAGGGTTTCTTTATCTCTTGCTTGTGTCACTGAACACACTTCTAATAGTTTGAGAGTGGTACACTCCAGATTTTTTTATAACATAGTTTTTGTTCCTATGTTTAAATGCACTTATTAAAAGTAACATTAGAAAAAAAGCAATAGCTGCAGGAATGTAGAGCTCTTCATTTTTTCTTCAAACCACATCCTCTGTTCCAGAGCTGGACGGGCCCAGAGAAGCTGCTGGCGCTGGATGAGTTGATTGACAGCTGTGAGCCCACACAAGTCAAGCATATGATGCAGGTGATAGAGCCGCAGTTCCAGCGAGACTTTATCTCCCTGCTGCCCAAAGAGGTCAGTTCCTGAATCTCTTTTTCTCCTATCAGTTCACAGCTTCCTCTCTAGCCCGTATCCTTCTCCACCTCTTCCGTCTGACCTGAACTCCCATGGGAATACTTTGTAATTGTTTCTGAATGAACATACCTGACAGAGAGATAAGGCTTCCTCTCTAGCCCTAATCCTGTTGAAGTCTTGCCTCACATCATTTAACAGCATCAATAGTGGGTGTCTTGTTTTTGCTCTGTATCATAACTGACAATACAAACAGTCTGAAGTGCCACGCTGATACGATCACATAACAGATTCTTACAAAACAGCCTCAAACCATCGTATCTTGTGGAGCTGATCTAATGCTCAACACCTTGTCTCTGTCTGGCAGGTGTTAAGATGAAGGGGGGTGGTGGCAGGATAGAGAGTGAAGCAATAGGATGCAAGATTTCAAGGTGTCAGTGCCACTTGCTCCAAAGCCAAATATACAAACAGCATCTTGTGTGTTCACACTGGGACATGGGCCCTCTCTTTAAATGTTGTTTTCCTTCGATGTTTCTCTCGCTTTTTTTGTAAGATCTTGTTCCCTTTGACTTCATTTGACAGTCCCATCTTTCCTCTCTGCTGGAGCCATCAGAGTGGAGCTGTGAAGTAATTTTAACAGGACAATCCCTGTTGTCACTCTTTAGATGCAGTTGGAACTGAAACTAAGAGAATCTGCAGAATGCTGTGTTTGTTGGGCTTAAAAAGCAATCACTGGCTTTCATAAAACTTTTGAAATAGTGTCAAATACAGTAATGAATAGTGGTGATTGAGTTATGTCAGGGTTTGTGATGAGTCTTGTTTGGGCCAAGTCACTTGAATGAAACTTAAAAATAAAACAAAAACCTAAAAATATAGACAAAACCTGTCAACAATGTCCAGTATCAAATAAGGCCTCATTTATATTGACCTCAGTTCCTCTTTAAAATGCTGCCAGTTTTGTTGGATATCAGATTAGGGCAGATCCACGAATGTTTGAGAAGTGAAAAGCTTGATGACCTTTCAATGAGTTACAGAAATTATTACGCAACCATTTTGATAATAGATTTTTTTTTTGTTGTCATTTTTCAATTCCCTGTTTTGAGCTTTTCACATGCGAGGATTTGATGCTTTTTAATGTCATACAACATGATAGTCAACCGAACAAAATGAGCTATATGACTACATTATCACAGGCTGTTTCTATCATCTTCTGAGGTTTTATAGGCCGATTAAACAATTTATCAAGAAAATAAGCAGCAGAATAATTATGCCAATAATGCAGCCACACATTAAACTAATCACGAAGCAAAATGAAGCCCAGTCTGGATTGGCCCTAAAAGTCATTTGACTCCTGATGTTCATGACGCCACTCTTGAATTTGTTCCACAGCGTGCTGCTGGTCGTTATCATCTCAGATTATTGTAATATAATGAAAGAACAATATTTGTACAATGGGTTACATCTCATCCAGTAAAATGAACCCATAATCCCTTTTCCTGATGATTCAGAGTAGTCACTTGACATAATGGTTGATCCACTGTATTGTTTCATAGCTGCAATGGATATTGGGAGTTGAGAGCTTAGTCCAAATATATACCTACTTGATTATGTCTGAAATAAAACTGGAAAAGCAGTAAACTGTAATGCTTTTTCCCATTGCTCAGGGGTCTAGATTTATGCTTATTATTACAGGTTTTGTGTTTAGTTGCTGGCTTTGGCTTAAACTGTTTAGCTGTCATTACTACCTGTGCTGTAAAGCTGCTATTGTATATATTTTTTTTTGGTCAGCTTTCATAGAAATGTCGATTTGATTCAACGGCAATACAGTTATGTACCCTTTTCAGTTAGATTCCTGCACTTCTTTTGCTTGGTAAGTAATTTCCTAGCTGTTTCCAGTTCCTTTTTGTTGTTGTGATTGAGTTTCTTCAAGGCTTTCTCGTTGTTGCATTCGTGCTGTAGTAAACAATGAGTCTTCTTTGCGTTGTCTTTTCCATTTACACCTCTGACACTCATCCTTGCCTTTCAACAGCTGGCTTTGTATGTGCTGTCATTCCTGGAACCGAAGGACCTCCTCCAAGCAGCCCAGACGTGCCGCTACTGGCGCATCCTGGCAGAAGACAACCTGCTGTGGAGGGAGAAATGCAGGGAGGAAGGTGAGTTTTAAGTCTCTGTAGCGGATGCCACACAGACAATATGCAGGTACCCAGCGAGAGCAGGCTGGAGCTACGACTGTGGTCAGTGCTGTTCTTAACATTGTAGTTGTACCGGTTTTAAAAGTAAACTTGACGAAGGAAATCATGAGTCTGCTTTCTTTTCTGTCCTAACAGGCATTGATGAGCCTCTGCTCGTCAAGAAGAGGAAAACTGTCAAGCCTGGCTTCACTCACAGCCCCTGGAAGTGCGCCTACATCAGGCAGCACAGAATAGACACTAACTGGAGGAGAGGAGACCTCAAATCACCCAAGGTACATTTTAGTTCAAACTTAAATTTTCTTCAGCCCAGTTGATCGTATATCTGCTATCAACTGGCTCTAAGTCGCAGGGAGACAGTTCAATAAGGGTCTGAAGTGTGAAGCTGATGGAAAGTTAGCGATGGGTCAGGCCAGTGCTTAGCGGTAGTCAGGCTGAATGATAAATGATTTAGAGCAAAGGATGGTCTTACTCTCCCTCAGTCTAAAGACTCTATTTGTCTTTTTCCTGTACAGACGTTCCACATAAAACCTGACCAGCATGCTAGAGCCAATCCCTAATGGCCCTTTTGCTTTTGCTCCTTTTAAAATGGCTGCAAGTCATTTTAGGCCCCCCACTGATGTGAATGTGGTTACTGTGCTCCTCATCCTCCTTTGCATATGGAGTGTGCTGTTGTTTGCTGAGCTAGCAGTCCTGTAGCCCAGTGTTACCCAGCACCACAGAGACCACACACACACACACACACACACACACACACACACACACACACACACCTGGGTAAAGTGCTGTGTACACCTGCAGCACTTGATGGTACTTTGCTGACCGTTCTTCTCTCTGATGAATAAGGCGCCAGAGTCGTGTCATTGTTCACATCTGTTCCTGCCGCCTGCTTTGTCATTACACCTCCATCCTTCCTCTGTGTCCTTCTCATCACATCTCTTTTTCATGTCAAAGGTGCTGAAAGGTCACGATGACCACGTGATCACCTGCCTCCAGTTCTGTGGCAACCGTATTGTCAGCGGCTCTGATGACAACACGCTCAAAGTCTGGTCGGCTATCACAGGAAAGGTAAGAGTTAAGTACTTCTCTATTCCCTGTTTTCTCCTTTAGTCTTAATAGCTTTATTTTCTTCTGTTATTGTATGGTCAGATGTTAATGGACTGTGAGTATATGGTTCAAAGTTAAATAATGTTCATGAATTAGTTTATACATATTGATTTGAAGGTGAAGGAAACAGAGTTGTGTAGATTATTGCTTAATGTTTATAAAGACGTCCTTTATAGACTTCCTGTCATCATATGTACTATTTTGTACATTTAGCTATACATAAAAACAAACAGCCTTCCTGTCTAACACTTAACTGTACCTACACAGCTCCCACTAACCTTTTAGTTGATGATTAGTAATATTTAAAATCCTGGCAAGACTGTGTTCTCTCTCACTCTATTTTCTCCACTTACATTTTGCCATTGCAGACTTGTTACACAGCACATGTACGCACGCAGTGTTAGTATTCATAGCTGAAGCTGGAGCAGCCACACTGGCCTTGTGCTGCAGCATTACACTCTGTATTACAGAGAAAGGCAGTGGTTGTACTGTGGTGTTGGAGGAGAGGTTCAGAGATTGCTATAAATCACAGTGCTTTCATGCCTCCACGTTGGACTCCATTTTCAAAAGAGCTTTTCACAAAAAATCCCCTGCACCTTGTTACTGCATATTTCCGTCTTGCTCCTTTTACTTTTACGCAAATAAATTAGATAGTGGACTGTGAACTTGCTTTCATTTCACCCAAGTAAAAACACATTCAATGAAAATCCTTTCAATAAATTTACACTCTGTATGATCACATTGCAGTAGGCCCCTCTGTCTGTTTCACACAATAGTCCAGAGAGCTCACTTTTCATCACTGCAAAATCTCTAACAGATAGTGAAGTTGGCAGTCAGCCAATTGGTAACGCATCTCATTCACCACGTTTGCTGATCTGAACAGATTTCACTAAGGTCATTTAATAGACATAAAGCACAAATGGGTTCTTCTTCACCCAAATGGATGGATGAGAAGTTGCTGAGATACAGCTGCACTGGGTCCATATTGGTGGTGGAAGTCTGATGAGTCACACCACCACCAGCAGCACCTCTATTTTTTTTTTTGTGTGTGTGTGTGTGTGTGTGTGTGTGTCCCATGAAACCATTATGCCTTCACACTAACGTCACATGTACACAGTATGTTGTGTCCATGGCTTATACATTGCAATTCAGAATTATTTGTTCACACTAGTCATGAAGAAGAGATAAGCCTAAATCCGTCTCTGTTCGGATGCTGCATCCAGAGCACACGCCCGCTGAGGACCCCATCCCTTCGCTCCCTTAGCGCTCAGCACCAGAGACAGAATCCCTCACTGGAGAGGAATGGCCAATTAAGCAGTCGACCATTTCGATTGATGTGGCTGTCGATCTCAGTGAAACTGTAAAATAAAAACACAATGGGATTACCAGCACCCGCAATTGTTTTTCCTCTCCACTGTCAACATGCTTTATAGTCTTTACCAGCTTATTTGAGGACTTGATTGCTACGTTTTCTTCACTGTCAGTTCAGCCCCTGAGATACGGGCCTGTAAAGTGACTATCAGTGATGTTGAGGTGTTGCACAGTTTGTGATGGCCCCTGGATGAATGCTTCTTGTAGGCTCCCAATCCACAAACCGATATCCATCCCTCTTCTTCTTCATGTTGCAAATGGCCAAGATGACAGGACTATGTCTCCTCCATAACCTTTTAAAAACTGATTTGTTTGACCTTAGTGTTCCTTTTACCTCTTATATAAATCTTCAAACTTCAATAAAAGCTCAGGCTACCCTTCCATAGTTCAGCCACTAACACCAGAAATTAGGTCTTACTCAGAACTGGATCAATAAGAGGTAGAAGCAGGATGATCAGCGGGGATGAGGCCGTCTGATTTCAGTCTTTAAATGTTGCCTTTTTAAAGTCAGATGCCATTAGACTGAAAATGTCATTTTTTTTCTCTGTTCCATCATCAGTATTTCATTTTGGGTCACTTTTCATTTATCAGACAAGAGCAGTCTCTACAAATCAGTAATGAGTTCGGTGGACAATTACAGTTTGCAAGGGTAAATTGGCCCCTACTTCCAGAAATCAGCGGCTACTTCTGCCCTTGGCTTCAGAAGAGCAATTTGAAATCACCTTTGGCAGATTGCACTGGAGGTGGAGGACTTAAATTGATAGGATGGAAAAATTTGTCACAGTGTAGACAAACTGTGCCAGAGGAGGAGCAAAGTTCACACGTCTTCTCAGCCACTTGTGCTCCCAGCTCTATATAGTGCCTCAGACATGATGTTGACAAGGCAACAGATGTTTCTATCAATTGATTAATGAATCAGTCCACTATTCTTTTCTCTGTTCAAGATTTGTTGACTATTTTAAGAAAGCAAATCATATGGGCAGGGTTATTTGCATGGACATGGCTTAAATTATAAAATGTTCAACAAATATTCACCAGCTGCTGTTCCTCCAGCGAGACCTTGCCAAAGGTTCAACAAACACTAAGACAGATATTTGTCAGAGCTTCATCTTTGCTGCCAGCTTTGCCGAGTCCTTAATTGATCTGATTATATAAAACCTCAGTGAAGTGAAACTGTGCTATGAGGCAATCGGAATTATTGTATGATCACGTTATATGTAAATGCTTCCACATCTCTGGAAGAACTGGGCTGTTGCTTCGTGATCAAGTATGAAGATGCTGATTTGATTGTGGTGAAAATATTGCATAAGAGATTAAAAAAAAACAACTGAGTTTGGCAAAGTGACATAAGAGTACCTGTTTGAGGTTGTGTGTGCAAGAAAAAAGTTTGTTTTCCTCCGGGAGAAGCAGTTACTTGAAAGCTCTGAGGGGTTGAAACCCCTCCAGCTTCAGTGAGAAGTGTCAGTCTTCCAACTAATAACGCAAACAGTGGCATACATGTCATTGCTTCATAAATGGCAGCACATGTCCTTGGTGGTACCTGTCAGCTGTAGACCTGTGGACTGTTGTCCTCTGCCAGGTGCTTTAGCTGCATGAATACCCAGTGTACCTTCAGCTCTTTTTAGCTGATGTTTAAAGAAATCATTGCTTTGTATATTAGGGTAATATCCAGGAAGCACAAAAGAAAAACAAAAACTTCTTATTATGGCTAGCATCGCTTAGTTCATTTGGTTAGGATGTTTCACCGTTTATGGAACACACAGCATCACCACTGTTGGTGTGTCCACTATGTAGGAAGAACTGATTGGATTAGCATTGAAGGTGTGTTAAATATTTATAAACATGTTAAATGGACTCTTGCCAGCCAACCAAAAAACACAAATTTAATATAGAAATCTTTTTCCTAGCTTCAACTGTAGCTTTTGAATCATGTCAGTCTATACTAATGCAATGGCTTGACCTAAGGTACTTGATTTTAACCTTTGTAAAGCAATAAATCAACAAACCTTTAGATCCACTGATCCACATTCTCTAATATTTCCTGTTAAGGTCAAAGAATATTACTTTTTTCCAATACACCCAGAAAACGAAATTTTATGACTACAATTTCTGTTCCCTGAAGGAGAGGAAGGAGGTACAACACGAACTGTATGGGATATCACACCCCCGTGTGTCCTGGCTGAAGACAGCTCTATTCACACCTCAAGACTGACAACTTATGGCGACGCAAGTGTGGCCCCGCCTGCACTTATAAACCACCGTCACCCCTTTTGTTCCCCCAGTTCAATGACTACCGTTCATCAAGTTCAGCTGGGAAGTGGTGCAATAATGTGCTGTACCTCGTTCCTCTCCTTCAGGGAACATAAGTTAAAGTCATAACATTTTGTTCCCTTTCAGCTGATTTACTCGGTACAACACCTATTGTATGGGACATATATTCACGCCCCACAGAGCAGTATGTAGTCTACAGTGATTGTGATCTTGTTGAGCAGAACACATAACGGACTCTCCTGGGGCATCTGTGCTCCCAGCTCTGACACACACATCCCCTTTTAAGTTTGGAGCATTGTAACAGAGCTCAGTGCCCACCTCAGCTCGATAAATCTTCTCCAGCAGGGCAGTGGAGAATCTGCAGTATTTGGATGGAAGAACACTGGGTCCCGACGCCCCTTGGTTGTGCAGGGTGGCCAGATAAGCCACCAGAGAAGGTGCCACAGGTAACGGGCTAACCAACCCGGCCTTTTTCGCTCCGTCCAGATCCAAATACTATCCATAGCTGGGCAGACAGCGGTTTATTCCATGACCAAGTCAACGCTGAGACAAAGTCTGGGAACATGGGAAGAGAATATTCTACCATTGTGGGTTCGGGCAGGAGGAAAAAGCCTGTGAACCGCAACGGCTTTTGGGCCGGCTGATGGGAGTGCTACTCCAACTTCCAGTTTCTCTGCTGCTTAATGGAACAGAGGGAAAGAATAAGTCCCAGTCAACCGATGCATTAGCGGTGGTAAATCCTCCTGCTCATCCTCCAACAAACCATGTATGCCCAAGCTGATGTCGAGCATATTCATCATCATGGTCTTCAGCCAACCGATCCTGCTGGCTAGCACTGTCGGTGGGTCCCAGGTCTTCCGACCCCTCCACATAATCCATATGATCCCCCTGGGGTGGTGGGTTCGGTCATCAACTCCTTAACCCCAGACCCAGGCAAAGCTGGGGCAGCCAACTTTGAGAGGAAGGTGATCACATTTTTCCCCAGCCCTTTTTCCAAAAATGTACCCTGCCGTTCCAGGGTTGAACACCGGAGCTGGCAACAAGCCGCACATGACTCGGGCTCCGCCAATGCTCTCCTAGCTGGTGGGGCAGGTTTTGTGCAGGTCCTTCTCGTGCAAAGAGAAGGCACACTGCTGAGGACTGGGACAGATGGCAGACTTCTTCTTTGCAGAATTTACTTTAACACTCACAGCAGTCAGCAAAGTTAGTACAACGAGAGCTGAATTTAGCCAACCTGAGGTATGAGCTAGCAAGCACATGGAACAATGCACCTGAAATCAGCGCTCTGCAGGTAGTTGACTCATCAACTGAGGCTGTTGTAGCTAACACAAGAACAGTTAAGCTGATTCCAAGCACGGGGGGGGCAGCAACAGAGGTGACGGTGGTTTATAAGTGCAGGCGGGGTCAAATTTGCATCATCATAAGTTGTCAGCCTTACGGTGTGAATAGAGGTGTCTTCAGCCAGGACACACAGGCGTGTGACATCCCATGCGATATGCATTGTATCGCCTGAAAGGGAACTGCAATATACAGTCTTTTGTGGTCTTTGTGGCTACAGTACTGTCTCTCACAGTTTTTGTTTAAATGAGGAGCAAATATGAAGCATTGTATGAAAGCTCTCGTGTGTTCAGAAAAGGTCTTTCACAGGTTCATTAAAAGAAAGATAATCTTCTTTCACTCTGAGATAGGCTTATTTTATGTTTGTTTCACAGACAGATAAAGATGCCTAAGCCCTTCATTGCAGATATCTTCTCTTCCCACGCAGTGTTTGAGTAGGCGCTAATCACATACTGTGATTTTTGCTTTTGGAACCTCAACCACTGGCTTCAATTCACAAGACAAATCTTTCATCTTTGAGTGTGATTTCAATAAACTGCAGATCTGCAGTTGAGTATTACACAGCAGTAGCACACGTTCATTGCAGATGTTGATGCATGATAGTCAATCTTAATAACCACAGTAATCCATAAATTGACCACGTTTCTGCCATATTGTAAATGTACAATAAAGTGTAATTTAGTAAAATATTTTCCAGCTGCAGTAATCTCTCTTCACTGCTTTATAAAGCAGTGAAAAAGGACCATGGCGATAAAACAAGAGAGACTTTTAACACTGTAGTGAGGTTGATTGTAAGGTCATGCCACATTGGCCCACAGTTAATTAAGGGATCTTTTTATCACAGGACAGAGAGGGGGGAAGACAGGCTGCAGCGTCATCCTCCTCTTTCTCTCACTGCAATAAAACCTCTTACCCCGAACTGCCATTCACTGCTCAGCAGCTTATCAGCTACATTTGGGGTGGGGGTGTCACACGTTGTACACAGTCCACTCTGAACGTGACATAACCACAGCACTCACCACCGACCACATCCGCAGTTTGCTCCTCTCCTCTCCCCAAAGAATTCTGCATTAGTGCATTTAGGTTAATGAAATTGAGGGAAAAATGAGAAAAAAAATGCAGAGACGCCAATTCAGATGATCAGATGGATTTCCATAACTGGTGAAATCAGGAGCTAATCTACCATTACTAATGAGGATGAATGTGCGCATTTCTTTATTGAAGACAGTTGTCAGCCCTTTCTGCAGAGAGACTGAATTGACCGCTTTTGTAACAGATAAGCAGGCAATTATAAAAGCCTGCGGAGATCTCAGAGAGAGAGTTTGTCCCAGTACAGCAGCAGCAAGTAGAAACAACTGAGCTCTTCCTTCCCATAAAAGGTCACACAAATTCCATTTACTCGTCTTTTTTTTGGCTTAGGGAAATAAAAGTTCATACAGGAAAAAAATCCCAACTTCTTTTTTATGTCTGAATGAAATCACCTTGAATGTCTTTTAAACTTTTCTAACATCCGGCTGTCGACAGTAGCAGGAAGGAATTTACTGATCAAGACTTTTCTTCTGTGTTCTTTTCAGTGTCTGCGGACATTGGTGGGCCACACAGGGGGTGTGTGGTCATCCCAGATGCGAGACAACATTATTATCAGCGGCTCCACGGATCGCACACTCAAGGTCTGGAACGCAGAGACAGGAGAATGTATCCACACCCTCTATGGGCATACCTCAACAGTGCGCTGCATGCACCTACATGAGAAAAGGTATGGGGCAGTCTCGTCTTTAATGTTCCATATTTTAAATTATTATACTTAATCAATCCCCGTGGGGAAATTTCTTAATGATGGGCAGCATTGTCAGTCACTGCCTATCTACCAGGGGCAACTAGGGGTTCAGTGTCTCGCCCAGGGACAGTTTAACATGTGGACTGGGGAGACCAAGAATCGAACCACCAACCCTGCGATTGGGAGACGACTGTTCTATCTCCTGAGCCACAGCCAAATCATAACGTCCCACTCATAGTGATTAATCAGACCCTGTGAGCCATCTCTAGCGCAATGCTGCTCACTCATTCACTCGATATTACACTTGGGAGACTCAAAGTGCTCCTTTCGCCTTAGGGCTCGCCAAGGTTTTTGTGTAGTACTTGATAACTCGCTCAGTAGAAAGGCTGTGAGCTGCAGGCAGACAGTGAATACTATAATGGTGATTTGCATCTATGTAGCTTTGTGAGGCGTTTTATACATAAAGTGTATGTACTGTGTGGATCTAGAGCATGTTTTTGTTTTATTTAAATAGCCTGTGAGAAGAAAACTTCAAACATCTGTCTTATTCTTCTGGTGTAATGAGCTAGTGAGAAAAGTTTTTCCTGTTACTAATTTTTTAAATAATAACCATAAAATATGCTTGGTACAAACTGTTCCTACAGATACAATTTGAAACCATTTGGGTTGGCCTTCTTCCAAACAGAGTTTCCCATTCTGTAACCTATATCACAGCTTTCCTTTTCCATCCAGACACACCTTAGGCAGTTGTTTGACTTAGAGGTGTTTTTGTACATTCAAGTTTGAACATGAATGTGACACTGTAGGTTAAAACCGTTCATAGCTGCCTCATTACTGTGTCAGTGCAGCTGCCACTGCATAAATGAGGAGTTGTGTAGAACATTGTATTTAATCTGACAGAATGTGTAGGTGAAGTGTAAGCACTTGTGCTGAAGTCACACTGGCTGTTTGTGCTGCGCCCAGCCTCATGCATTCAACCTTTAAAACTTTATACACCGCTACAAATACCTGAGTTGGTGTCTGTCTTATTTCCTCCCAGGGTGGTCAGTGGCTCTCGTGACGCCACGCTGCGCGTCTGGGACATTGAGTCAGGTCAGTGTTTACACGTCCTCATGGGCCACGTGGCGGCAGTGCGCTGTGTCCAGTACGACGGGCGCCGTGTGGTCAGCGGTGCCTATGACTTCATGGTCAAAGTTTGGGACCCAGAGACAGAGACCTGCCTCCACACGCTGCAGGGCCACACCAATAGAGTATACTCATTACAGGTGAGCAGCCTCAAACACAGTCAGTAGTGAGGCAAAAACTGTGTTGGCAGTTTTCTGCATTTGTGCAGCATCTACAGTGCAGTTTTATAACATTTTATCCTCCCAAAATGTGTGTGTATCTTCTCCAGATGTGTGTGTGTGGTTTGTTCATTTTGTGGAAAAAAAAAAAAGTCCTCCAAGACGTCCTCTCGCCCCCTCTGTCTGATGACAGTGCACTTGAGTTTGTGCCATCACCCTCACAGAGGAAGCAGTTTACTGCTCTGATTGGTTTTCTACCACACGGCATCGTTAGAATTTTAAAAGTGCTGATGCTCTAATACTGGCTGAGGGAACAGAAAGAAAGGTTTTCACAGATCAATAAAATTCATTAATTTCAATGAGTTTAATCTGAAGTTTGTTAAAAGCACCAAAGCATAGTGTGTATAAGGGGTGTAACGATACACAGCTCACGAGACAAGATGATGCATAACAGTGGATTCATGAGAACAAGACGAGACATTTTTAAAGAAATCTTCAATGAAAAAATACATGACTGGAAATAGTCTTATTTGACAAAGTCACAAAATGCAAAACAATGCAGGTGCATTTTGAAAAGTTTTGACTAATCATCTTGTAATGAATGTCGCTTCACTTCTACTTTCTGAGCGTGAATGAATATGCAGTAAAAGGCTAACAAGTTTTGCCACAAACTCAACTGACTGGCTTCTCTCCTGTATGATTTCACGAGTCTCTTCAGACCTTATAGCTGTCTCATCACAACCCCGCTGTGTAGGGCTCTGTCATAAACTACAAGTTAAGGTGAATCAGCAGTTCCTCAACATCTCAGCTCGATTTCCAGCCACTTTAATCTGATCCTCTCCGGTTCTAGTTTGATGGGATTCATGTGGTGAGCGGACACGTCTATAAGGGTCTGGGACGTGGAGACAGGCAACTGCATCCACACGCTAACAGGGCATCAGTCCCTCACCAGCGGCATGGAGCTAAAAGACAACATCCTGGTCTCGGGCAACGCGGATTCCACTGTCAAGATCTGGGACATCAAGACGGGCCAGTGCCTGCAGACACTGCAAGGTGAGTCCACATTCCCAGAAGGCTGTTCTTTAAGTTCAAAGAATGAATGTAGTGTGGGAGTTGCTCTATACTTTAGTATAAATGGGCCACAATGCAGAGTTGAGATGGAACAAAATTTACATCTCCCCCGAGCAGACAGTCGCACCTTGCCCGGTGGAGGGGTTAGAAAATGGTAAGGAGTTATAATGGCCAGGTGGGATTTTTTTTGATGAGCACATTCTGTGCCATTTATGATGAGGTGTATTTTACCATTATTTGGAAAAGACAAGAGCACACATTGTGATTTTTTTTTAATACTGTGCTTGAGATGGACACTGCTGTTTACGTGTTTAATTCTGCAGAATCTGATGTTTTTTTTCCAGACTTTTATTGATATTATGACAATATATTTAAGTGTAATACACCCGTCTTAGTGAGGAGTTTTCAGATTCAGAAGAGCGATTAATAGAGGGCATTTGAATTGAATCATCATGTACTGTATCTTCCATGTGCTAGCATCTTGGAAGTAGGTGATTGTAGTGCCAACACTCACTGCTCTGCTTCCACAGTCGCTATGGGGCACTTGAAAGCAAGCTCAACTAATCTGACAAACTGGGAATTATGATTTGTTTCAAAATATATATTCACATATTAAGTCTTGTGTAAAAACTATTTAGCAAATGAGCAGAGACGGTGAAACGGTTAGTGAAAAGCATTGAAAATGATACTTAACTTGAATAACTAGATAAATGATTGAACTAGTCGGCTTACGAGTGGGTAAATGGAACTCGGCCAAACCAACCTAAACAGTTGAACGACAAACTTGACATAGGGAAGATGAAGCATCACTTGAGCTGCTCTGACAGGGATTTGGGCGAACATCGGACAAAAAAACGGTGCCTTTTCTTTATCACTTAATTTCTGTGTGGTGACTGTCTTTATCTTGTTGTCAGAACAACACACAACAGTAGGTGCAATGTGTCTGTTTTGCCTCTTGTTCTGAAACAGTGTCTTGATCGTAGCGCTTAGATTGTAGCAGAAGAAGAAATGGTACAAGTGAACGATGGTGAGTTTAGTTTGAAACCAACTAGTTACAAAGTAGCAGGTAGAACTGACTTTGTACTTAAAATCAAAGGAGTGTTCAGCTGTAGCAGAACCACTCAGATCCATATTAAACTGTGAACAAGTGTAGAGAAATAGCAGCACCAGGCTTGAACAGCAACAAAAAACTCATAAGTTTGGACTTTGGTAGCAGCTGACAGTCCAAGTAAAACCCAGACTAAATGACTTTGTGTGCATTTGCCAGTACAGAGAACACCTTGTGAGCCTGTGGACTGATTAGTGCCCCACCCCCTAAACGGCCTCATTAGCAGACGACAGGCCTGTTTGCCGGTCCTCCAAACACCAACACACACAGACACCCACTGAACCAAATGATGTCCTAGTGAGAGTGAAGAGAGAGAGGGAGAAGATGGTGACTAGTGAGGGAATGAGGACCAGGGAGTTTTGTAGGTCATATAATTAGGTCAGTGGACAATTTGTGCTCTTCGTTAATGTGTTTTGATAAGACAATAGGCAACAACAAGGCTGTCACTGTCCGCTGAAGAGGGTACAGGTAATGATGGAGCAGGCTGCTTTGTTGTGGTGATGGAGAGAGGGGGGAGGGAGGAGAGGCAAGGCAGTGGTGTTGGGGGTTGGCGTAGAGGAGTATTGTATGCATGGGTAAAGAATACAGCCTTTGCTCAGACAGAAATGGAAAAGAAATTAGGCTTGTGAGTGAGATTTCAACAAATTTGCAGTGAAAATGAATTGTGAAAGTGCAAAGAAATTAAATGTCTGAATGAAACAGCTGTTGTAGCAGCCTCGATACATAGTCATCTGTGTGCCAGCACTTGATTTCGGTGCTTATTTGTGCTTTGTGTCGCCCTAATTTAATTAAGATATCATTTTGAGCTCCTAGGGGAATCTTAAGTCGGCGTGTGTACGATCACAAATAGCCACCTCAATAAAAGGCAGCAGCCGCCATCTTCACTTTAACAGTGGCCACCTGCCAGCTCCCAGCACACGTGCACAGCAGACAGAGGTTTAGCTGGAGCTGCTTAGCCTCCGTGACAGTGATGGGCCTGAGCGTCTCACTGCAGCTCGTCCTAAAGCCCGACTATGGTTGGAAGATCTCACTACACAGCTTAAGGCATAAGCTGGAAGGAAGTTTTCCCTTTGTCTCTCAGGCTTACAGAGGTTTTTGTTTCGAGTTCTATATTCTATAGCTGGGTTTTTATGCCACAGTTTTCTTTGTTAAATCCACTACCACTTCTCTAGTTGGTACAAAATGGTACATTTGAGTAAATGGTACCAGCAGGCATAGGGCAGGGTTTCATAGATGAAATACAGTAGTTTGAGATGGGAACTGATCGGTTTCCTTAGAAGACGGGAGCCTAAAGAGCAGACGGACATGTTACATATGTCATTTTATGTGTGAAATGGCACATTTGTCCCCTGAATGTTGTTTTAGTTGGTTAACACTAGGAATCCCTGCTGGAACTCAGTCCTGTTGCACAGAACAGTTTGCATTTCCATCACAAGTGGAAACTTCTAGACGTTAAAGATTTAATTAAAAATAAAAAGTTTCCAAGCTTGTTTTTAAGAACCCAACATTTTTATTTGTCTGGCCAAAACATTACACAGAAACGATGAGTGAAAATTATTTTAGGAACTGGATTACACAAAATCTGTAGCAGTGATTGTTAAGGAGCTGGTATTGTGGTCCTTTGACCCATTTTATAAACGGTGTATTTTAAACCCATCTGACATTTTATTTACCTAAAGTTGTTTTGATTTCTCTAAATCCATCTTTACAAACAGCCCAGATTCCCCCTCTCCACTAGCAGGCTGTTTCTGAAGTTAAACTCCATTATTCATGAGCACCTATTCTGATTGGCTGGAGCTGATTACTCATGTTCACCCCTAGCCAATCAGAATAGGACCTAATGAATAATGCAAGTACTCCTTCAGTCAATCTTGACCTTGCATAATGGCTACAGCTTGAAACAACAGTATATCAGGATCTAGTAAGTTCTTGAATGGGAAGCTGTTTTCACAGACTTGAGACAAGTTTGTCTTCTTTTTTGATTTTACATTTCATTTTTCTGATTTCTGTGTGTCCAGGTCCCCACAAGCACCAGAGCGCTGTGACGTGCCTCCAGTTCAACAAGAACTTTGTCATCACCAGCTCAGACGATGGCACTGTTAAGCTGTGGGACCTGAAGACAGGCGAGTTCATCCGTAACCTGGTTACGCTTGAGAGTGGCGGCAGCGGCGGTGTGGTGTGGCGCATCCGGGCCTCCAACACCAAGCTGGTGTGTGCAGTCGGCAGCCGCAACGGCACAGAGGAGACCAAGCTGCTGGTGCTTGACTTTGATGTGGACTTGAAGTGAGAAGAGACTTGGTAGGGAAGGACAAAGAGAAACCGCAGAGAGGAAGGAATAGAGTGGGAATGGGAGATATGGCGCCTAGAAACCAGAGGGCCAGTGCTCAGAACTCTTCACCTAAGCTCGCAAAATCTACAACCACCACCACTAACAGTGGGCTGTCCTGTCCTCGACCATTATCTTCCCCGTCCCTGTTTTGGGTAAATGTTACTGACAAAGCCACAGACCCTCACGTGTGTTCAGCCCCTGCTTTCGAACCCCTACCACCAGTACGAGGTGTAGTCAGAGGGGATCGGGCTGGAAACAGGGCAGGGGGCCACAACCAGTATGTCCCTTGATTTCCAGGGAGAAATAAGAGTGGAACAAACGAACGACTGATGATAACTGAACTGGTATGAAGTGACCTCCAACCTCTCAGTTTGGGGTGAGCTTCACACAGAGACTTGGTTCCTTCAAGCCTGACAGATACGGAGATGTACAGAAATACATTATTTTTTAAAGACCCTCCACTTTTAAACACACACAAACACCCAAATGGCCAACCAGAAAGTGGAAAACATTGACCGAAGGAAGAGCCAGAGGAAGGAGGGAGACTTTGAGGTGAATTTCCACTCAGTTGCACGTAAAGAGCTGCTTGATGTAGAGGAGAGAAAGTGATTGGAGGGTTCAGCCTGTACCCAGGCTCGCTTCTTGTCACTCCATTTCCGTTCTTCTTGTTCTCCACTTGGTTTCTGTAGTTTCATTTCTTTACAATATCGCACACAAACAACTGTGAATTTCAATACCTTTGGTTTAACATATGAAAGGGGCCTCTTCTTTGTTGTTGTCTTTCCCCCCCCCCCTGTTGCCAACAGCAACAAATCCCAGTATTAGAAACCTGCTCTGTTTAGGTTTGCTGTCATTATGTCACAAGGCTTTTTTTGTCTTTTTATTTGAGTTGTTTGTTCTTCCTTTTGGTTTTCTACGTACCCGGGTTTGGAGCACTTTGCTCCACATTAAACATCAATGCTGTCCAGAATTTTTCAGTCTAGCTGAGGTGGTGTTCCGCAGTGGTGCTGTGACGAGAAGAAGTAATGGTTCATTGCTGAGAGTGCTGTGGATTAATGCCCCTGAACCCCACAGCCCATTCCCCTCAACTGTTTTCGCCCAGTGGCCAAACTGTATTTATGCTGCTAGATGAACGGAAAAAAAGAGTTGGAACTTGCTGTGACGTTTTAGTCCCAGGCCAAATTCCAAATTGAACTCTGTTTGGACTTAAAAGATAACATCCAACATTTGTTTTATTTTGGTTGATTTTGCCACTGAAACTTGAGCCAAATGTGCCTCTACGAGGCTGAGAGAGGGGAGCGAGTCTGATACTGACGGGATTGCATGCAGAGAGGTAACAAGGGGATGTACACTGTTGGCGTGCGTGTGTTTGCGTGCATGAGTGTCTGTGTTAGCGTGTTAATGGGCAACTTGTAAACACATTCCTTGGGACAAAGCTCTTTCAGCCTGTTCTTTGGGGAAATGTACAAATGCTGTCTGGACTGACAAAGGAAAAAAAAACTAGCACATGTATCGACTTTAATGCGTGAATGAAAGAACTGTGCGTGATTGTTGTTCCATTCAAAGATGTCTGAAGCAACAGAGGAGACCATCACAAGCATCAGCTGACCGTTCGAGCTGCCACGAGTCTTAGTGTTAACATGTGACGCAGATAAAACCGGCACGGCCTCGTGGATTGTCAGTGGGGAAAACTACAAACGCGAAGGCAACAAACGTGAACAGAAACACTGTAGCCAAATGAAAATCGTCTCAATCTCCAAGAGTCACAACTCAAGCTGAACTGTGAAAGTGGTATAACACTGTATATTAAAAAAAGAAAAGAAACAATCTTGCTTTATCTCCTCTCGTTTTCTCCCCGTTTTAATTTATGATCTGGTTTGAGAAATCAGATTTGTTGCAGGTGTTTTATTTTATCAGTTCATGTAAACTGCCTGGCGAAAAAAAAACCTTAAAGGGATTGTGTATTTGTTTGATTCACTTAGAATTTTATTTTCTTATAACTTAAGTGCAATAAAATGTGGGTTTTTCGTTTTTCATTTCAAGCATATCAGTTGTCTGTTTTTGTTACTTGTGTGAAGGCATCTTATATGTTCAATAAAGCAAATTATTTGATTAATTACATCCAGAAGGAAATACTTAACACTAGGCCAAATTTGTCACATCGATCCTTCACACGAGGTTGGAGTCTCTCTATTGAACAGGTGAGTGCTTTCTTCAGTGGTACAGTGGTTCTGTTGGCCCTAGCTTGAGGAAGGGACATTGTGCACTTAGGTTTTTCAGTTCCTGTGTCACAGAACGCTGCATTTTTCCTCCTGTTTGTTTCTCAAGTAGCATTTATTTTAGGTAGAAGGCTGGCAGTGTTTCTATATTAGTCCGGCTCAGTACTTTCAGAAACATCGCGGGGAGAAAAAAATTGAACTCAAATGTTTTCGCATGTAGCTGAGGTTGGAAAGTTGATGGATACAGACTAATTTAATCGTGACCTACATGAAGCGTGTGACTTCGACCTGCAGTGAAGCAGCTAAAAGCTACCAAAGCACCCTGCATCACCGAAGGAAAAAAAAAAACTGGAAGATCTAATTATGATATCCTGTTCTCGTAATTATAACGCAGGGGTTGGAACGCTGCAGAACTTGCCTGAAAATCAACAGGTTTTAACTAGTTCCTTAGTATCAAAGTAATTCAGTGATTGTTTGCCAGTACATCCAACAGTGCATAGCAAAAGTGAATTACTAATATGACAACTGTGGTTCAGTGGGTAGAGCAGTCGTCTCCCAACCAGAAGGTTGGAGGTTCGAATCATGGTGCCTGCAGTCCACGTGTCGAAATGTCCTTGGGTAAGACACTGAACCCCAAATGGCTGCCTCAGTTCTGTACCCAAATTCCTTGTGTGTAACATACTTGGCTAAATAAAGTGATCATATGTAATTTGGCATACTTAGTGTTACAAAACTTAAACTAACTTGTCCTAAACTAAAAAAAAAAAAAACATTCATTCGCATTCATTAACTATGAATGTTAATAGTAATGTGTGATGACTATTAACGTTGAATGCTTTTCCATAAATACGAGATCGGGATCTTTTAATAAGGCTACCCGATTTAACTGGCCAGATCCTATAGGCTATTAAACTATCTGTAGAATGAGCATGAGCTTAAATGTCAATTTTTCAAATAAAAAAAAAAAAGGTTTCATAGTATTTTGGAAAATGTCACAAACATTCAAAGTTCAATCACAAGAATAGATTGTACTTTTACAAGAAACAGGAAGTAGGATATAATGTTGCTATATGAGCTGCAGCTTGGTGTGATGTGTATTTCCTATATATGTTAGGTTTTGGAGCACTACGTACGACAAATCAACTATTATCAGTTAATTTTTGCTATGCACTATTGGATGTGCTGGCAAACTATCACTGAATTACTTTGATACTAAAGAATCTGTTAAAACCTGATGATGCGTTATCTCATAGTTATGAGAAAAAAATCTTAATTTGGTATTAATTATGACATCTTAATAATTAATGCCAAATTACAGTCTCATGATTGAGATCTTGATCTTGGGGCAGTAAATTTGAAACACTTAACTTGTGACACTCAGCCCCCAAACTACTGGTTCCTACAGAGCAGATTTTCAAATGGGCTCATGGCTGATGTGTTTTTGGACGTCTATGGATCAGAGAACGCAGCTGTATCCGATTTTGGTTACATAGCAATACAGTCAATTCACTGGTGCTTTTGGTCTTTTCATGGGATTCACTGACAAGAGGAAAAATATTCTGTCACTAATTCTTTTCTGTGAATAGCCCAATGTTACTTACGTTGTCTCAACAGCCACTACAGGTCCATGATGGCGGCAGTTATTCCAGCTTGAGGCCCGTCTCCTACAGTAAACGATCTGTCAAAAACATTACAATGAAGTTAGATGGATCGTGTTAAGTAGGTCTGGAACAATTAGTTAACTGATCGTTTTGGGAGCTTGGAAATTTTTATCATTTATTATTATCTGACATTTTAGTGGCAAAGTGGTTTTTCGCTTATGAGAGTAATTGTTAGCAAGTTAGGCCATGAGTCAGGGAACACTAACAGGGACTTGTTGCTACTCAGCAGCTACTGTACATGAAAAAATGAAAGACTACAGCACAAGTCAATCTGGTAGTGAATTGTCAATCTATCCGTTGTATATTTTGATAAAGACTCAAATGCAGTTGCAGTTTAAACATTTCTAAATATGTTTTTATTCTTCAATAGCAGGTTTAAAAGGCAGTGGATACTGGATTAACTCTCTAATTGCTTTCCAACTTTGTTGTTGTCGCCTGTTGTTTTTATAGCTGTTCAACACTTAAACACAGCACAATGCTCACACTCAAAAGAAATTCTCAACCTAGATAACCTGAAAAGGCAGATAATAGATGTTGTTACATTAGGAATCATATTTTAATCCCCATGGTTTTTTTTAGACTGTGTAATTTAATCAAAAGAGAATAATCTTCCCCCCTAGAAAGTAATAATGGGGGCTTTTTTTCTATTTAATCCTTAATTTAATTCTTGTTTTTGAACCTGTTGAGATAATTTATGTGATTTCATCCTCAACTAGAGCAGAAGAACACTGCATTCTCTGCTCTCAGCTGTAACTAAAGCATCGCAAAGGCTACTGGGCCATGATTTGAATGTGACCCCCATTCTTTTTTTTTTTAAACCTTGTCTGTGTCAGTTACTTCCAGACCGTTATCTGTCATAAGCCCATACAACTCAGTGCAGCAGCAGCAGCGGCAGCAGAGCATGTGCTGTGCTGTGGATTCCCTCCTGCCTGTTGCCTAGTGATGGCTCGTCTCTGGCCCGGCCACTGAGCTCAGCGTGCATTCGCAGTAGAAACGATATTGTGAGGAAGCAGCGAGGGCTGTACATCCTCACATGAATGGACGTGTGGGGGAGTTTCCACTTTGGTTGGCAAGGTTACTCAGTGTGCGCCTGTTCGTTCCCAGGCTCCACTCGTGTGTTGTGTAAGCGGCGGGTTGTGGAGGATAGTAACCGACTTTATACACAGGCACAGAATACTACCGTACAACTATGGTTCTGATCATCAAGTAATCATTTTACTTGCTTCCTGCTACAGCTGTGGCTCTGTGAATGGCCGTGTCATTACATGCTGAACTGACTCCAAGTGGAGCTGATCTTTTCAAGCATGTGTGAAAAAACCAAAATCGATATTTTCAGATCGGCTCTGGGTCACTTCCATATGTGGCCCTAGATCCGGTTCACATCCGATATTTGACCATGGGACCTTTGTCAGAACGGTCAGATTAAAATTCTTGTGGTATTTTCAGCTTCTTACCTTGCTGTGCATGTGCATGTCACCTGTCATCATTCAGTGCCAGGTTTCACTGACCAGTAGCCTAAAAGCGACCCTAAAGGAGAGAAACGGGTCAGCATTTCTAATTTATTGGGACATTTATGGAGACACTTCTAATCAGGCTAAACTGGAAAGAACATGTCGTAACCGAGCAGTTTGAGGAAAATGCACGATTTGACTGTTGCACAAATGATGTTATTCTGGTACACGTGCCATTCAGATTTCAATTATCTGCACAAGCAATGCAGTTTAGGACTGCGGCAGTGTTCACACTGGAGCCGGATCCATGTTACTTACAAACATGAATGTGAAGCATCACCACAAAAAGATCGGATCTGACAAAACATCAAAACTGAGCATTAAGGTGAAGAGTACTGAAAATACTTTGTTATGAATGTGAAGCATCACCACAAAAAGATTGGATCTGACACAACATCAAAACTGAGCATTAAGGTGAGGAGTACTGAAAATACTTTATTGCATAGACTATAGGGTTAATTGCTGAACTGAGAAACGGTCACAGAAGTAGAACTTATTCTTTACTTAACATACCAACACCACAGTATGAAAATACTCAAAAACCCTGCATTTAAAACCATACAAAAGGGAAGTGCATGCTTACACATCAAAGTCTGTTTACAGGTCTTGGGGAGGACTACTGTGTGTGTGTGTGTGTGTCTGTTGGAGGGGGCATTGTATAAAGCCTTTTGTGGCTCCAGAGGAAGCTGCACAAAATTTGATAAACTGCCTCATATGTCACTTGAGTCAGCATCGGTTGTAACTGAAGTTTGAAAAAGAAAAAAAATCTGCCAGTTAGAAAAAAATGAGACCATTTATGCTACTCAGAGAATCAGGGTTGCACAAGGAACCCAAAGGATTTTATTTATTTACATACATCATACAGTAGTAATCTGAAAGAGACCTACTGCTGTCAGATAAATGCAGGGGAGTAAAAAGTACAATATTTGCATCTGAGATGTGGAGTAGAAATATAGAGTAGCATAAAATGGAAGTGTTATTATAGTGTTTTTCATGCAGCCTCGTCGTAAGTCCCCGTGGTACCCCCCCCCCCCCACTGAGAAAATACCTGACACAGAATCAATAATAGTCCTACTTTGGTTTTACTGTGCTGTGCTTCACTTTTCATATGAGGAAACAACATTTGTAAAATATATTTTTTCTTCAAAAACAAGAAAACGATTCATATACTACAATAAGTATAATCTGGAGTAGGAGCTGCTGCTGGATCTCCACATGCAGCCCTTTAATGAACTAAATTTTAGGAAGTGATGAATCATCTCCTTCCCTGAGGTTAGAAGCCATTTATCTACCCTACACTTAACTGCCTTCATCGTCCTGGATGAATGGATGTCGCTCTCTCCGCTCTCACCACGTCTGCTGTTGGCCTCAGTACTAACTCACCGAGCGACTAACAAAGCACCATGGAGGTGAGAGGTGGAAACGAATGAGGGATGCTGCTCCACCGAGCAGAATGTTATGGTGTGGGATGCATTTAAAAGGTTTGGATGTAAAGATAAAAGAGATGGAGGGGGGGGGGAGCACCCACATCTAATTTCATATCCCTCCATCTCTTTGTTCCGTAATCCTGCCCTGCAGCGTCATGGCTGTTCTCATTGCCAGCAGATTCTCAAAGGGCCGTAGCTTTAGCAGTGATAGTGTTTCACGTCTCCGCTTAATCCTATTTGGACCTTTGTTGTAGCCCAGGAAGTGATAAAGGGGCACTTAGTCACTATAACCTGCTCTCAATGGATGATGTTGAATGGGATTACAGTATAGGAACTCACCATTGATCCGTGGGCATGGTGGACACAAGCTGATCTAAAATGCCTTTGTTTCCCTCAGGGAGCCAATGTTGATGTCGGCCATTAATCTTGACACTCGCCTGCTGGATAAGCACAAACATTTAAAATGGTGAGGTCAGCAGGTTCACTCAGCGGGAAGTGTGTTTGGCAAGTCTGACCTTTTTCTCCTTTACACTCATCCTGCACCCAAAACTGCTGTAGGTTTTCAAAGTCCTATCGAAATGCCAGGTCTGCCGTTGGCAAAACTGGCAGTTACAGCGGATCCCTGTGTCTGATCGCGTTCAGCAGCGTTACCAAATCACAGCTCATGTTTCATGATGAGATGCATCCGAGCCCTTCTCATGTACAATGACCCCGTATGAGAGCAGAAGTATTCATTCACCTTTTTAAATCAGATGCAGTTAATAACACCGGCATGAATACGAGGCGGATCCGATCAGCTGAAGCTCTTTGATTGCCTTGATGAGATTCATGTCTGAATGTCACTTCTTCAGGAGTCAAGAACATGACGGCAGGAGGTAAAACTGCAGGGGACATTCAGCAGACTCCCAGATGAAATTATGTAATGACAAATCACGTCAGGCTGAATGATGGAGAAACTGATTGAACTCGGTATTAAATCTATTGGATAACATATTTAATATCTTCAACATTTTCACTTGTATGTTTTTAAAATTACTTAAGTTGGAATGTTTATACATTACTGCCATTTATTTTAACTGTTACATTTCATTTGTACTGATTAAAGGCCCTGCTTACCTTGACTGGTCACACAGTGTGGCTGATGAGTAAAAGTACAAATGTATTAGCATCAAAACATACTTCAAGTTCTAAAAGTAAAAGTACTCATCATGCAGAATGGCACATGTATATTAGATTGGATTCCAACTACTGATGCATTATTGTGTTCATCACATCTAATGTTGCAGCTGGTAAAGGGGGATCTAGTTTTTACCTGTGCTTATAATTTGAATTACTGCTGGGTAGCTTATGAATTTCCCACCAGGGATCAGTAAAGTTCTGGAAAGTAACTAGTAACTAAAGTTATTAAAATAAATGTAATGGACATTTGCCTCTAAAATGTAGTGAAGTCAAAGTGTGAAGTAGCACAAAATGAAAGTACAGATACCTCAAAATTGCACAGTACAGTGCTTGAGTAAATGTATTTAGTTACTTTCTACCACTGCAAAGCTATACAGGTAATGAATCACCAAAGTCCGCTCCTAGCCCATTTTGAACTTGATTTCATTTTTACCTTGATTAACGCGGTTTTAATTTGTCCCACAACAAGGTTGAGATCGAAGTCAATCCAGCTCTGTCTGTGCTCCCCCACCCGAATGAAACCAAACGACCTATAATTAAAATGCTGTGTACATTTTAAAGCTTCAGTGACAATAATCCTCCTGTAACATACTGGACACTTGGCATGTGGTCTGAGGACCTGAGTACTTTGTCTATCAGTGCCATCGGGGTCATCGAGGTCACGAGTTACAGTGTGAATCAGCAGGAGGCTGCGTGGAGAAACAGATGTCAGGGTGGCATTACAGTATCACTGACTGAACACTCCTCGATGCCCTGCGACCTGGGCGATGTCTACACAGTGTAAATTTAATATCCCCTTCAGGTGGTCTTCAATACCCGATTCCCATCGTCCCCTCTCGCCTTGTTTTCCTGCCATCTCTACTGTTGACTACATTTTCCAAATTGAATACCTTTTATTAGAGCAAGTTGATCTTGAGGGAAATGTGGTGAAATCCTTGGTTATCACTCTAAAGCCTGGCGTCCTAGACGACACAGACACATCCAGTGACAGCTAATTTGGGCTCCACTGATAGTGTTGAAAATTTAGGACCACATTCTGTCAGTGCATTACGACACAGCTTCACCCACTGCCAAGGTGCACAGAAAATCATCTGGAAAACAAAAAGTCCAGCAGCACAGTGTTTTGAGCAGCTTTAATGAGATTATTAAAGGCGCTCAAAACACTGCAGCACGGCAGCTTGCTTTGCCTTACAAGTGCTGCTGGACTTTGTGTTTTCCAGTGCCAGTGGGCGTGAAGTGCAAAACTAAGCTTGTTTTTAGTTTCACTGCATGTTAGAAACAGAGCGATGCAGATTATGTGTCAGTACTTCAATTCATTTTCTCTATTTACATTACAACTCATCATTAACTCTCACATGCAGCAAAACTGTTACTGTACAAAACCTTCGAACAACAGCCTTCACTTAACGAATCAGATCATCAAAATGACAGACAGCACTATGTAGTCGTAGTGGTTTCTAGCCGCACAGATACATTTTGGTTTCATTTGCTTTTGGTTTTCATTTAACTTCACCCAAAACTATTTATATGACTAAAAATCCCCAGAGATGTTTTTCCAAAATTTGGGTACGAATTATATACGGAAGAGGATTAGGGCCTGTGTTAAAACCTAAGTTCTGACTTTCCCCTTGGAAAGTAAACAATCTGACTGTCGATACATTTTGTTAACTACAGGGGAAATTTAAGAGGAATATTGGGAACTTTCCAAGCACTGAACTTCGTATGCAATCGACGCTGCCTTTGTATTGTATGACACAATGTTCACTTTGAATTAATGCTTCAGGATAGACGGGCGCTGCAACTGATGGTTACCACCATTACTGATTAATCTGTTGATTTGTTTTCCACATTAATCATTTGGAAATGGTGACAAATGTGTCTCACAAAGTCCCAGAGGCCAAGGTGACATCCTGAAAAGCTAAACATTTTTTATTTACAGTGATATAGAAGAGAGAACACCCAAGTCTTCAAATTCTTTGAGAAGCACTGTTGCTTGATAGATTAAACAACTAATTTGTCACCTGATTTTCTGCTATAGGAAAACATACAGTACAGTATTTGGTTGTAAAAGTGACTCTCTCAGATTCACCGACCATGGGTTTGTAGGATTTAAAGGTGGGAAAGTGAGCACGTGTTTTCCTACCCTGGTGACTGTAAAGGAACATGAAGCTCCATGCTACACCACAGCCAATCTGCAGCACTCGTGTGCGTAGGCGGGGGGAAAAGTATGGCAGGGGAAGATGCCAGCACATACTGCTACGGAGAGGGCACACGCGCCGACTTCCAGCACCACCTGTCTCACTTGGGTAACTGATGAGCACAAGGTGTGCGACGGTGGGTGCTCTCATTTATCTGCAGAAAGATGAGTAAGCAAATTCACCTGTGGTGTCACCCTCAAGTGCTAATTACACGGTCAGTTTTCTGCAACAGAGGACAGAGAGCGTGAGCTTTACAGAGACAGATTTATTGTGTTTGCATGAATATGGAACAGGAATCTCAAAGACTTAATTGATTCAGTGTCTACAAAATGCAGTTGTATTTGGTTTTGCTCTTTGTTTGTGTGTACGGTGGTTGTTGCCGGTGCTTTCATGCCTCTGCCCGCTGTGGCTTGGCAGGGAGACTCTGCCGCTGACAGCCCCCGAGCAGGTGGGTGCCACAGGCAGAGCTCGGGCATAAAAACCCTTCTGGAGTGCACCTATGACTCAGTGGGGCCAAGATACAAAACACGATTGAATCCCTAATGCCCTGACCTTCTGCATAACTGTCAAACTACAGCACATGTGCCCCACGCTGAAAACACTTTTAACCCTTTAAAAGGATAGTGCTTGGATGTTGGCCACTATTCCTATTATGACTGTCACTACTGAGTGTTGATTGCAGGAAGAGTAACTTTTGTCTTCTATGTCTACAAAATGAACTGCTGCTACAGGACCACTCGTCCTGGCCAGGAGAGGAAAGTGGAGTTCGACCACACACATAAGCTGGTTGCCTTTGACAATCAAGCAGCCAGTGCCAGTATCGAATTAGAAGACGGCGTGTTGTACTAAGAAGTTGGTCTGTAAACGGGTGCTGATGTTTACAGCTGAGTTTGGCAATAATTTTACCTCCCAACCTTATTTTTCTCCCTCTTCTCTCAAAACCTGACTGACTCACTGAGTTTTGCCCATGAGTACCTCTACCTGTTACTGTGTACTGTCACCTCCCATGGTGAAGCTACTACACACAAGTCTCAGAAACCGTGGCAGAAAATGTCCCTGTAAAAAACAAACAACACACACACACACACACAGACACACACACACAGAGTGCAGAGGCAAAAGCAGCTGCCAAGTTCTGAGGCGCGTACAGCTGCAAATTTTACGCACAGCTGGTAAAGTACGGACACTCTAATTAGCTAAATCTTCCAACATAGCACAGGGACAGTAACTGACCTTCTTCACACTAGTGAGCTGTATGAAAGGATTCCAAGTTTACAGAAGCTGTTTTTTACTTCAGCAAACCTCCGAATTCTGGGGGTGGAAGTAGCAGCACCTTTTTGTTCCAATCTAAGTTTCAGTCTCAGTGCTCCGTTTGTTCAGTTGTCTGACTTCTTTTCAGTGTAGCTGCCACATTCCTAGATCTCAGCAATTAGCTTGGTGTGTACAACATAAAATATACAGTATGTAGAATATTACTTTTAAATTATTTCTAGTGTTGTAAGGTGTAATAAGCCAGGATTGACCTTTAAATGGACAACTAAGTGTACAGTTCATGCTTGCATCTTAAATTAAAAAATTCAAGTGTGCAATAAATGAAAAAATGCTTTATTTTATCTAGGTTAAATATCACCTAGAGACAGAGACAGGATGCAAAAGAGCAATTACTGTCTTTAATACCAGGGCACTAATTATACTCACCATCTGTAAAATATGATTCCCACGACTGCCATGTTGTTACGCTTTCATCATGATCACACTTCTCCCAAGGAGGAAATGCTTCCATCCAACCGGGGAGCAATAGATGGCTCCAAATGGCTCCTGTCAGGTGATGCAGTGTAACAGTACGGTTATTATCCCGTTTGAGGTCACAACAGCCTTCAGTTAGTTTTATACACATGTTCATGTTAATTTGAAAAGCATAGATACAAACAGACAACACACAACACACACAAAAGGCTGTGTCGATGAAGACTGCGTTTGTGCAAACCTCAAATAAGCAGGCAGGCTGTTCTGGGCTTGAGGTGCATAATCACTGATTCCTCTGTCGCCAGATTTAGAATGAGCTCTGGGAATTTGAAGGAGACATCTGTCCAGTGACCTGGCAAATCTGTTAGGTTGATAAACTGGAAGCATGTCAGATATGTAATCTAGAGCCAGACATTTAGGCGCTTCACAGACCAGAAGCAGGATCTTTAATTCAATTCTGCAATTCTGTAATTAACAGGCAGCAACTGGAGATGACTGAGAATCAGAGCGATATGACCGAATTTAATGGGACAAGCATCTACTTTTTTGAAAGTTGTTAAATGTCTTTTATAAAAAGACAGGCAAAGAATGGACCATGTAATAATCCCGCCTGATAAATTCAAAGGAAATGAAATATGCAGTAAGCATCATATTGTGTATAGCAATCTTAAAATAAAACTTTGATATTTTGGAAAATGCCCTAATTGGCCTTCTTGCAGTGAGTTAGATGAGAAGATCTGTCACATGCATTAAGTATAGCAATGGAACATTGAGACTGTTAGCCTAGCTTAGTACAAAGACTGGATACAAGGGGAAACAGCCAGGCTGTTTAAAGCTTAAAGTTTAAAGCTGCACCTTCCAGCATGCACATGGTGCTGTGTGGGTTCTCATCGAGTACTCCAGCTTCCTCCCACAGTCCAAAGACATGCAGCTTAGGTTGACTGGTGATTGGTTGTGTGTGTGGTGGTTTGTCTCCAAGTGACAGCCTTGTGATAGGCTGGTGACCTGTCCACGGTTTCTCCCACCTCTCGCCTGACATTTTTGCAGATTTATTAAAAAAGAAAAACTGAAATATCACATGGTCATAAGTATTCAGACCCTTTGCTGTGACACTCATATATTTAACTTAGGTGCTGTCCATTTCTTCTGATCATCCCTGAGATGGTTCTACACCTTCATTTGAGTCCAGCTGTGTTTGATTGGATGTGATTAGGAAAGCCACACACCTGTCTATATAAGACCCTTCAGCTCACAGTGCATGTCAGAGCAAATGAGAATCATGAGGTCAAAGGAACTGCCTGAAGAGCTCAGAGACAGAATTGTGGCAAGGCACAGATCTGGCCAAGGTTACAAAAACATTTCTGCTGCACTTAAGGTTCCTAAGAGCACAGTGGCCTCCATAATCCTTCAATGGAAGACGTTTGGGACGACCAGAACCCTTCCTAGAGCTGGCCGTCCGGCCAAACTGAGTTATCGGGGGAGAAGAGCCTTGGTGAGAGAGGTACAGAAGAACCCAAAGATGACTGTGGCTGAGCTCCAGAGATGCAGTCGGGAGATGGGAGAAAGTTGTAGAAAGTCAACCATCACTGCAGCCCTCCACCAGTCGGGGCTTTATGGCAGAGTGGCCTGACGGAAGCCTCTCCTCAGGGCAAGACACATGAAAGTCCGCATGGAGTTTGCTAAAAAACACTTTAAGGACTCCAGGATGTTGAGAAATAAGATTCTCTGGTCTGATGAGACCAAGATAGAACTTTTTGGCCTTAATTCTAAGCGTTATGTGTGGAGAAAACCATGCACTGCTCATCACCTGTCCAATACAGTCCCAACAGTGAAGCATGGTGGTGGCAGCATCATGCTATGGGGGTGCTGCAGGGACAGGACGACTGGTTGCAATCGAGGGAAGGGTGAATGCGGCCAAGTACAGGGATATCTTGGACGAAAACCTTCTCCAGAGTGCTCAGGACATGACTGGGCCGAAGGTTCACCTTCCAACAAGACAATGGCCCTAAGCACACAGCTAAAATAACGGAGTGGCTTCCCAACAACTCCGTGACTGTTCTTGAATGGCCCAGCCAGAGCCCTGGCTTAAACCCAATTTAGCATCTCTGGAGAGACCTGAAAATGTCAACCAATGTTTACCATCCAACCTGACAGAACTGGAGAGGATCTGCAAGGAGGAATGGCAGAGTATCCCCAAATGCAGGTGTGAAAAACTTGTTGCATCATTCCTAAAAAGACTCATGGCTGTATTAGCTCAAAGGGGTGCTTCTACTAAATACTGAGCAAAGGGTCTGAATACTTATGACCATGTGATATTTCAGTTTTTCTTTTTTAATAAATCTGCAAAAATGTCAAAAATTCTGTGTTTTTCTGTCAATATGGGGTGCTGTGTGTACATTAATGAGGAAAAAAATGAACTTAAATGATTTTAGCATATGGCTGCAATATAACAAAGAGTGAAAAATTTAAGGGGGTCTGAATACTTTCTGTACCCACTGTAGATGGATGGATGGCGTGTTTGGGACGTCTTTCAAGATGGAGGACCAGAACGACTTCTGGGTTTGAGCGAGGACTGAGGAATGATCAAATAAGAGAAGTGGGATTTACCCTTTGTGTGTATTCTTGAGGTCTTTCACACATGTCAAATGCATTTCCTTCCTCATAATACATTTTAAATCCTGCACGTCTGTTTACATTTTTTTCTGCCTTTGTTGTCACATGTCAGATACGCAGCACATCTTGGCACGTTACTGCCACAGGCTGATGGGGGAAATCAACCCACTGACGCCACACACAATCCTCGTAGACAGGCATATGATTAAAACAGTGACCCATTCATGAAAAATTGCTCCAGATGGCTACTAGAGGAAAACTTCATCCCTAACTAGCACTCAGAACAGAAAAGATCAGTGCTGAGGACCCTCATGCAAAGAGCAGAGGAGGATAGAGAGGGAGGTCCAGGGTATATTCTGGACAAAGCACGCAAGCATCTTACTGTTCCTGTTCCGTTTAATCACCTTAATGACTAAAATACTATTTTAGAGAGCAGATAATCATAATCATAATAACTCAGATGCTTCTGCTAATCCTTTTCCAAAGCTACTGTAGAAATCTTGTATTTTCTTTTTCTTGGAAATCTTGCTTAATTAGCATTGCATCAAAGACCCAGTCACAGTCTATGTGCAGGAAATGTAATTAGGCACTAATGAAGAAGAAGAAGACTGAGCTGCTTTCACACCCCTGTAGTGCCACTACAAGCTTGCATCATACAGTATCAATATCTTACTTTTGACACCCCAGGGAGCTGATCAACCAGTCGCTGGGTGAGGCTCCCCCGGGTGAGATGAGACATGCAGAGGGAGAGGGAGGGGAGTGCTGCTCCTAATGACAAGCGTAGGAGAGCTCAAGCTGTTGAGAAAGCCCCGACTTCAAAGGATTGAATGACAAGAGACAGCAAACACAAGCAGGCATAACGTGTCAGAACAGAGAGCAGGCTGAGGGCGTCACACGGCAGAATATGAAGGTTTGGGATTTAAGCCAGAGCCGAATGCCCTCAAATACCGTCAAGGAGACACCTGAGAGCTCAAGTACAGTTACAGCATACAGTGCATCGTCCAAACGCACATGTTCCACTTGTGAAGCCTGCAGGATTGTTTAATGTATAATTAAGAAAACTGTGGCCAGACACTGGAACGCTGCAACACTCTTGGACTGCATTTTGATTGATAATAACAACGGTAGCCTCCGGCTGTGTGACGCCGCTTGCATGATGATGGGCACCACACAAAACTGATCAAAGCCCCCAAAATTTAAATAGGAAGATTAATATTTTAAATAGGAATGAGAGAAAGAAACAACGAGAGAGACCCTGGAAGACAACAGACTGCTTTCACCATAGAAACAGCAAATGAGCAAGTGAACGCGTATCAGCCATTTTACAGAAATAGACTGTTCTTTGAGGGAGGACTCTTTCAAATCCCAGTGAAATAAGGCACGCATAAGGGCCTCCACAGTGGACTGTGATGTATGTGACTGGTTTGCTCGCCACATAATAAAAGGTGCTCTGGGCCTGTTCAGAACCGATTTGGTGGACGTTTGCTGTGCAGCTGGTGTTGCCAGAGCCTTGGGATAATACGGCTGTGAAAAGGGATTGGAAGAATCTGCGGCAGACTGCTGGCAGGCTTGTGTCGTCTGAGCTGGGCTCTTACACCAACTGCACCTGATGACGACACTTTCAGGCAAAGGGAGGGTGGAAGGAAAGCGAAGGAGGCCGTTTGTGTGAAAGGAAGAAGAACACCAACATGCAACAGCAAAACATTCAGCCCAAATACATGCGCTAGTTCCTCAGGTGACCCGTTGCTACCAAAGAGAGAGGCGTCAGTACAGAGGGAGGTCGGTCAGGACATCAAACACACTGTATTAGGCCTGTTTGAGAGAAGCAGCATAACGACGTCCTGGTTTTGGCTGTGCTACTGCTCAAAGTGCGCACAAATCTAACTTAAACCTTCTGTCAAAGCTGAATTTGGCAGGTGCAGGTTTAAAAACTTCAGAGGGAGCAGTCTGGTGCTCATTTAGGAAGTGTAAGACTCACATTTAAGGCCTTAGCTACTGTAAGACACACAGTATTAATAGTAGCCACACGTATTCAGTGTAACAAATACCAAATAAACAACTTTAAATATTCTGGTGTGAGATAATATCAATAAATAACTGCAATTTGAAGTTACAAATTACCTACATCTACAAATAAATTATCAGCAATGTGCTGTTGACAACAACTAAGACGCCATCCGCCACTCCTCTAGGTACAAGACGCCCAGATGCTGTGCTCTTGTGTTACTTTGTGGTCATTTTGCATTGTTTTGTTGTTTTGCGCCATTTTGAGGTAATTTTACATCTCTTTGATGTTTGGCACCTCTTTTTTTGATGTTTTGTCTCTTTGTGGGCTTTTTTTGCCCTATTATGATAATTTTGTGTCACTTTTGGGCAATTTTGTCATATTCTGTCTCTTTGTAGATGTTTTGCGTAATGTGGTTGCTATGGTTGGGTTCTTTTTTTATTGGCGTTGCTCTGGTCGCTTGACATTCCTGCCAGAAATGTTGACAGTTGCTTCATACAGGGTTCTGGTACTAACAACTCTGTCAACCTTAACCAGCCCTCTGGCTTCACCTCTGGAACTTGGTTCAACTCTGTCAAATTATTTTGAGAGAGATGAGGCAGGCACAGAACAGGGCAATAGAAAAATGCTACTGCTTCCCAAAAGAATAAAAAGCAGGATGTATTATCACATTTTCAAGTATGTAGAGGATGAGAGAATTTGGATGTGGGTGTGAATGACAATGTTCCATCTTTTGATGTTTTTCAAACCAGGACAGTTTCTATTGATCAAAACATGAACTTTTCCAACAAAAACACAATTCAGGGCTCCCTTTTCTGTTGCCACTGCAGTTCACAGGGCCATTCATTACCCTGTCTCATTCATAGTTTCCCCTTGAACCAAAGGGAATGATTAAAAAGGCCTCGATTGGTTGGAGAGTTTCTGATTCTGCAGTCTTTAGTCAGCGTCTAATTGAAAAGTTATAATGCTGTTCAGCTGAAGCACTCCAGCTCAACTCCGATCCCACATTGGGCTCGTCTCTCAGAAGAAAGCGAAGACATAGCTGCTTGAATTTTCAGACAAAACAACCCTCATGGAAACAGATCTTCACGGGAGGCTTTTAGTCATGTTTTTATCCATCTTAAAATGAAATGACATAAAGCCTGATTTAATGCAAACTGAATACATGAAAGTAGTTTTTTTCCCATTTTGCTGTGTGTGTAATTAGTTGCAGTGCATTCAGAGTCACAAAGGAAGCTGTGGAAAAACAATGCATCCATATTACATTAGGGAGCAAACGCCCAGGCAAAGGCATCATTAATCAAAGATCCATAACCACAGCTGCTAATGTTAATCCAGCGCTTATTCTCAAAGCTGCGGACACTTGTAATGAGCAGTCTGTTTGTATAAGGTATTTCTACAACGAGGAGGGAGAGGCAAAGCCAGAATGTGTTAAATTAGCCATTAGTAAGAGGAAAAAGGAAACTACCAGAGTTCCCACCCTTTCTTTCTGCTTATTTTTTCAATTTTTTCCAATCCATGAGTTCTACAGTCCCTGATGTAATGAGGCACTGTCAGCTTGCGTTTTTATTTCACCTGCAAGGCTCTATTAGTATTCCTCATGCTGCTTCAGTTTTGAGACATATATGTTCATGTGGAAGTAAGCTTTTATCGTAAAGGTGCTTCAGGTGAAGGCTGGCCGCGCTCCCGTCGGCAACACAGGAGGCTGACAATCAATAGCCATTCACCCATACCGCCTCAGAATTCATTTCCCAATGATTACCTCCAGGAATCTGTCGCTGCTGGTTTTCCTCTGCAGATCTATAATGCAAACACTCTGTTAGACTGCATGTGTGTGTTGCACCATCCAGCCACAGCAAAATATAGCTTGTTGAAAAATGAGCACCCCTGGGCGCTGAGGGAGGGAAAGCAAGAGAAGATGGGGAAGAAATAGGAAGAGAGGGGTGGAGATGAACAACGTGTGTTTAACTTTGTGTGTATGTAGAAGCTCAGAACTCTTTTTTTTTTTTTGACAAAACGAAGAGTAGACTTAATATAAGAAGACTGCCAAAATGAATGTAATTCATAATGTTAAAGGCCTAATGAGAGGCACCAATCAATGCTGAAATCTGGCTGCGAGTGAATCTGTCCTGCTAATCAGTACTCAGAGGATCTGCTACTTCAGTGGCAAAACCCATTACTGTGCACTTAAAATATTATTTCATGCTTGAGCATGCATTAGCTCACTGGATGTTTTTTTTCTTGTAAAACCAAAGACACGGATCCTAAACATAAGCAAGATGGATTCATAATGTTTTCTTATACATTCTCCAAATCACAATGACTCAATGCTTGTCTGGTG